ATATAAAATAACAAATATATGTACAAATTACTTATTTATCGATGAAAACATATTTGTAAAATAAATTAATAGCTCAAAACACGAGTCCAGCTTTTCAAACTGATACAATACTATATTAAAACTATACATTTATTATTAAATTCTAAATTTCGGCGTTAAGGTTAAGGTCATTCATAATCAATGATAAATAATAATAATAATTATTATTATTATTTTGGTAACATTTGTTAACGAATAATGGTCTTTTTCCAAGCAGAACCATATTCCACCGAGAGGAACAGAAGACAATGCTTTAACCATTCCAACAAATTATGACGTCATACCGAAAACAAAAAGCATCTAGACTCCATACGAATCAATGGATCTGCTGTGGCTCATGCTTCTTCACATGACAGTACAAGTAAATGTGACATATACGGCAAATCGTTGGTTGTTAAAAGAAGCCATTAGTAAAAATTAAACATTATTAGGAACATAGTTGTTCCTATTCAGGTGGATCCCCAATATGAGCTTTTGAACCCAGTAAATCGCGAACAACTTTCATGTAATTTTTTACAAACACTGCACGGCTTAGGCAAGGAAAACTAAACAATTCGTCATTAGTTAAGCCAACTTCGTAAAGCAGATAACGGAAGGATTTATAAGAATCCAGAATCCACATTGCAAATAAACTAGAATAGTAAAGAAAAATTAAGAAACAATTGTGAAAATAAAGGGGGAGGAGGGGGGGTGTTTGTGCTTGTAAAATATTGCTTTTTTGTTTAGGCTGAAACATCAAGAAACTTAGGTATTGTCGTTGGTTATTTATTAATTATTTTACAAGCTCATTCTTGTCTAAAATTTGCTCTTTCTTAGTGTTTATATTGCTTTTTTTTAGTTATATTTGGCTAGAATTTAATTACTTTTTTCTGGTTAATCATATATAATTGACTTATGCTAAATTGCTTGACTTGCACTTCAAATTGAATTATTTATTTAATGAAATAATTATTAATGGAAAAAATGAATAAATACATATTTCATATAGTGTATTATGAGTATTGTTAATGTTTTTACATGTCATTAGCTATTTGTATGTTTGTATAGATGCATACATATATAAAACAGGCACCAGGAAACATACCATGGTTTGTAAAAGACTGGAAGGGATGAAAATACTCTTTTACAGATTGAAATCATTTCACCTAAGAGGGAAAAAAAACAGTTTTGTTTTCAATTCTCACGTGACCCCCTTCCCGAAATGCCATGCCTTACGATCATCGAAGGAAACCTTTATGTTATGTCTTGCTCACAAATACTCACAGGATTAGTCGTAAGACTGAGAGTTAAAATCCCTGTAGAACTCTAAAATTAACGATACACAAGTTAATCAGCTCCATTGGTAAGGAAAATAATAATTAGTTTTAAATATAGCTTTCACTACAGTGATGTGATCAAAACGAAAGTAATTAAAAGACTGAGGTTGTTACTTCCGCTTTCAATTCAAATGTTCAGAGAGAGTCTACAAGGAATACAAGCGTTTACCAGTATATTTCCAAACACACAGGATCATAACTGTATACTTTGCTTACGTTTAGCCTTAAACAGCATGATATTTGAATATCCATGTTTGTTATTCTTGTGTAATAATGGCTGTTAAATCAGCTTTTAGATGAGAATGATTATATATATGTTAGGACTACTTTTAACTGACTAATATGATGAACAATGATAATATAATATAGACTTTATTAAGAATATAATTCCTCACGATTAGAATTGTATCGATATCTAAAGCAACCATAAATCAAGTTGGTATTAACTTTGTTGTGATAACTAGTAGAACGAGCGTGGACTGCGTCGGCGTTTCTTAATAAAACAGTAGGTTAATACCAGTAGGAACTTGTAGATAATTGAATCAGCGTAAAAAGCTTTGTGAAACCGATGTTTCGGACGTTAGTCCTTCGTTGGTTTCACAAAGCTTTTTAAGGTGATCCAATTCATCTACAAGTTCCTACTGGTATTAACTTTGTCAGCCAAAACAATCTGTCTATAACTGTGTATGTTTACTTTGGCGCAGCATTCACACTCTTATCTATTAACCACCGAAAATACCTTTAAAGCTAAAAATGAAATATAATAACCAAAGTCAGGTTTTCGATACATTTCAGATACGGTTAGGTATCCTTCAAAGCCTTGTCCTCTGAATCCTTTTGGCCATTAATTACTTTTTGATGCATCAAAATGTGAGCGTAAGTATTTAACTATTTTATAATATAATTAATAGCAGAAGGTCAAGTGAATATCGGTGAATGTCGACAGGAAATTAATAGAAAATTCACCATATCCAACACGTTATCAAAAATGAAAACAAATAAATAAATAAATAAACAAGTTTCCCTTAAGTTATTTACCTTCAAACTTTTAAAAACATTTTGATTACGGAGCGAATTAATCATTTTTATTTGTCTTGTACTTTTTTTAAAAAATCATTTCAGGGTCTGACCTTACATATAACTTCTGAAGAGTACTGTCGACTAGGCCATTTTCATAAAGTATGCTTGCATTCATTTTAGAAAATCAGTTAGAGAACCGTTGACCAATCAAACTAATACTATACAGTCAAAATAAGGTAGACTCTTCTTTTTTGACTGCTAAAAATGGAGGGAAAAGAAAAAGATTTAATGAGAAAGATGCATGTCAAGCTAGTTCGAGAACTCGACACAACAGGYTTGCTTTTGAGTCATCTCTTTCAAGATAATGTATTATCTGAGGAAGATGTCGAGAAAATAAAAGCAAAGAAAACTTCAAAGAAGAGAGCTGAAAAACTGCTTAAGACACTCAAGAAAAGAAGACGTGGCCTTAAGATGTTAATTARAGCATTAATTCTTTCAAAGATCCAGGATTTTCTGGGTTTCGAAATTCTGAGAAAGGTTACTTGGAGCGAAAAAGGTAACGCTATTTCTGTTTATTAATTAATAAAAAATGATGATGATGATGATGATCTAAATAATGATGATGATGGTAATGATAATGTTGATGATCAATGATGATTAAAGCAATTCAAGTCTTTCTGACGGATAATTCAATACACTCACAAATCTTTCATTTTTTCTTTATACAGCCAATTGTCTTCAATTTCAAATTCGCATAATTAATAACCTGTTCATGACTTTTTTAATCATGTATTATCCAATCATTTAAAATAAGTTAAATTGTTTCCTTTTTTAGAGAAGGAAGATTTTTTAAAGGAATTAGATGGCGATTTAGATGAGAAACAAAAAGTGGAGGCTAAACTGGTAGAGGCAGAACATGAAATACAGCAGCTAAAATTAAGATGTACAGAATATGAAAGGAGGTTAAACGAGAAAGAAGATCAACGGCGAAGTAGTGTATCATCTCGAGAAGCCAACCATTCCAATTTTTTTCGAAAACTCTTCCGACAATCAGAGAGAAAGCAAGATAAAGCGGTCAGTACTGAGGATTTCCCTTCTCTGCCACCTAGAAATGGTAAGATGTACATGTTATACTTCCATGAAATGACGTTAACAGGTGATAAGAACAGTGTGCTTTACGAGGTTTACTTTTTAAACATATGATTAGCTTTTTATATCCTTTCAAGTGTACTTGATAATGACATCGGAAGATGTCGAAACGTCATCAATTAGTATAGGAAATTACACGATCTCGAGTTTTTAAAGTTTTCAAAATTGGATCGACGAATTTAACTTTCAGGCGATTCCAATTTGAGAACTTTCAAAACATCACGATTATAAAAGATAAACCTCAGGGACCGGTTGTATGAAGGTTGGATACCAGCATATGTAGGGGTCTATAGAAAGTCACATGTATATCAATATTAACACAAATTGAAAATTCAATATATAGTGTATGTATAGAATGTCATAATAAAATGAC